TTCGTAAGCTTACGAACAAATAGTTCGTAATGCAAACCGATTGTTCGTAAGACCCGTCTAGCCTTACAAACAATCGCTTTGCAATACGAACAATTTCTTTGCAATACAAAGAACGAAAATTGTTCGTAACGTTGCAAAGTATTTAGTTCGTAAGCTTTTTACAGTGTACGATTTGAAATATTGCAAAATTACAGAGTTTGCAAGAAACAATCAACTTGGATATTCTAAGCCGAGCATGAATGAGCTACCGTAAATGAACGATACCGATCGAAAATTTTGAAACATTACCGTTTGTAAAATCGTGCCTTATTACGTACTGATGAAAATATCGTTGCTTTACAAATGTATTTTTCACGGAGAGCAATAAGGGTTGCAGCAGCGCGCGGTGACGTGCGTCAGGCGTCCGTTTTATTTTTATCAAACGGGACGGCGGCATCCTGCCCGGCCTCAGCAGCTCCAGCAGCAGCAGCAGCAGCTCCAGCAGCGCCTCTCGGATTGAGAGGTAGAGCCGCGACAGTTTTTGCCGTGGCGAGCTGCCGTTTCCATTTTATTCGCGATTTCCTGTGCGGTGCGCGGCCCTATCGAGCGAGAGGGCTTTGGCCGATACATAGTTTGGCGCGCACTGCGGCAACTTAAAGTGTAATGAATACTACCTCACTTGTAGATGAGTGAATGTGCATTCCAAATAATTCAATCGCTTCTGCAAGTTGAGGGGTGAAGTTTCCGCGGAGTTTCGCACACCTGTGCACTAATAAAAGTTTGCAGGAAAACAAATATTTGTATGTGACACTGTTACTGAATAAACATAGTTAATTTGATAAAAGGGATAATTTCTTGTGATATGACTACAAAATTCGTTTCTGCAAATAATTCTGTCGAATAACGACATTGGTTGGTCCTCAACATCAGTCATCACAAAAATTTGCAAGAAATTTGCTGCTTTTTCGCAATTTTACAGTGTACGCACAAATTAGGCGAGTAAAAATTCACACGCCTACCCATAGGTATGTGCGAGGTTCACACACTTTAGGTTTCCTGTGCGTGACGGCGGTCGTGCGTGGCATGGGCTCACTCGAGGGACGATGACACGCCCTTTAAAAGGAGACAAGGTGCATCATAGGGGGGCCTCCATGAAGTCCGCTGCGAAACAAATGTGTCCTCGCCCTAATTCGTTTGACAACACGAATTATGTAAGTACAGTCTGTGTCGCGAGGTAAATATCTTATTTCTCTTGGGGGCCGTGGACAAACGTCAAGGGAAAAATAAAAATAAAAGAAGGTCTCCTGGCAGAGAGTACGGTCCGAGCGGTCCAGGCTGCTGCTGCCAATTCGCCCGGGAGATGCACCAACGACACCGCCGTGGTATGCCGAGGTTGCTGTGCGTGAGTGCGTTTTGGCGAACACAACCGGTTCTCATACCTCCAATTTATCGTATCAAAAAGTCTCATCGTTTTTGTGTGATATCGTCCTGTCCGTAGTGGTCTTGGCAAGCGCTCTCTTCTACTCGTCGCTTGCGTTGAGGTTTCTCGCGGAGGATGCCCAAGGCCCAGCGAGGCGGGGCGGGCGAGGGTGGCCTGGGGTGAGAAGCGCGGCCCACCCTACGTGTTAGTGGTTCAGAGAGGGACAGAGAGAGAGAGAGAGAGAGAGAGAGAGAGAGAGAGAGAGAG